GAAACCCTTGTTCCTTCTACAATAGTTAATTGATCAGTACTTCCATGTTGGTTAGGTTAAATGATCTGAATATAGCAAAGCACACAAGAGCTACCTGACTAAAGGGTGAGATGCATTCGTGGAAGACTTTTTAAAGGAAACAAGCTCGTATTCACGCTGGGAAAACCACCAAAACCGACCATGAATACAGCCCGTTCGCTTGGATTCAAAGAATGTCAAACTACCAGTATTCAGCGCTTTAACCACTCTGTTACTGGTGGGACACTTTCATATTATATTTTCTAAGGGATTTGTTAGCTTGTATTTATAATGTTATTTATAACTGTTTATAGTTCTGTCTTTTTTTTTTTTTTTTTTTTTTTTTTTTTTTTTTGCCTTGAAAATGGCCTATGTATTTTTAATGTGTTTATTTTTTTTACCGAGGTATTCAATCCCGCTAAGATTATAAGAAGTAACAATATCGTTATTGTAGGAAAATGCTCCAGTAATTTGACAAAAACATTCATTACGATAATCTTAGCGGAACTATTTTTTCAGGTTTATGAGGTTGAAAATTATACACATATATCGAAGATGAAGCAGATACCATAACAACTGCTTTTTTTTCTTTCCGGCCAGTGAATTAATGAATGGTCATGAATGAGGTTGGGGTTGCTGGAATTCGTAGTTTTGCCAAAAAAGCCAAAAAAAAAAAAAAAAAAAAAGAGGAATGTCTTTCTGCTGGTCATTGAATGATTGACAGCATTTAGCAAATTTTTAAACAAGAAGCTGAACACGACATAATCTATTGTTTCACACATTTTTTCCTTCCGTTCTCTTTGTTCAACAGCATTCAGATTTCACAGCGTAATTCTTTCACTATTAGTTCTGGAAATGGTAGAACTATATTCCATAGCGGACACATATACTTACTACTATAACCAGTGTTCTCAACTTAAGTTGACCTGTAGTATAATTACGTCATTTGTAAAATTAGGGATATTTGGATTCATATTGTTCATTGATCACATACGAATCTGTTTAGAAGTAAGAGGTGTGAAGAAAGTATGAAATTTCTTAAAACAATCCATTCCTAATTATTTCTTATCTGAAATTTTTTTAAAGAAATCCGAATAGTTATTGTCTGTTACTTTAGACTTAAGGTACTCATTAAATCAGATAAACGAGATGGCTCGCTTGAATTAACAAACAAGAAGTTTCTTTAAAGGCATAAATTTTTTTTTTTCAATTATTTGCAATAAACCGCTTCATTACAAACTCATTTCTTTAAAAAAAATTTTTAATACTGCTGTTCTAATCACTGTCTCACGATAAACCGAGGCATTGCTACTCTTTTATAAACAAAGTATTAACTGAGGTAATTTACTTACCATAAGTGGCACGGCATTCTCCCCACTTGAGTTTTAGAACCTTTGGGAGAAAAACTCAACAAAATATAAACATTAAATGTAAACTTTCTAAAATACATGAAATATTCAAAATATAAAATGTCTATTTCAAGTTATTGTTCTCATTATTACAATGTTCATTAACTCCTAAGAGGTATAACCTTTGAATAGATCTAAATAAAGATCCTTTACAAGTTTTCAATTTCACTAGTGTCTCTCCCAGGAAAGAGTTCGATCACTCTTGCTAATGGCCAGTGAATTCGTTTTTTATCATCTCTACCAATCAAGACGATGTCTCCAAGTTTAATTTCGTCCAGTTTTTTAGGAATTTATGAACGCTAAAATTGCAAATACTCAGTTCGAAATCTACCACCACATCTGGCCTTGTAAGGACTGTATATAGGTTAATGGACTGTGTTACACTGTAACTATTCACAATCTGCCATTGGAAAAAAAAATATCTTTCTCTCAGTTTCTCAACATATCTGTATCGTTTATTGATGTTGGATTTGTCGATTTTGTCTAGGTCGGCTGTATCATTGGCAGAAAGATCTTGAAGGAACAAAGATGGTGTCAAAATTCTCAAATCTGTTCTTCTGATACATATGTCAAAGGTCTGTTATTCATAATTGGTTCACACTCACAGATGAGAGTTCTTCCTAAGTCAGAGATGAATGTCCTAAGTTTTTTCTGAGGAGATTTCAGCTATAGTTCTGCCATTTAGTCTTTCCCAGAATCCTCCCCATCATGGGGCAGATGATGGGTTGAACTTCCATTTGATTAGACGAACTTCAAATTCTCTTTGAATTTTTGTCCAATTAAGCTGTTTTAAGGAGGAGTTTAAGCTTATAAAATTAGTTCCGTTGTCTGAGTGTAGAAATGATATTCTACCTCTTCTCGTGATAAATCTTCACAATGCTTGAATGAAAGCATTTATACTAAGAGAAGGTATTAGTTCTAAGTGGACAGCCCTATATACAGCACAGGAGAAGAGGACAATCCAAAATTTTTCATTTGACTTAATTATTAAGTGTCCGGTCAAGTCCACACTGCACACTTCAAACACAGCTGATAATCTAGCGTGATCTGGAGGCAAAGGGGGGAAATGGTACTTCAAGATTCTTCATTTTTTGTCTTTTACAGTAGACTTTTTAATGTAAGACTTTTGAGAACCCACATCGAAAATAATCCTTCCTTTACGTTGTCACCTTTTTCCCTTAATAATAACTACAAGAGTCTGTAAAAATACTTCTGTATGCCGCACGAGTGTAAAGTATCTAAAACCTTTTCTTTATTTTCATTAGCATCTTATTTTGATACCTCAGTCGATTTATTACATTTGAAATCAGGACACATAAATTTTAAATTTCTCTTAGAATGGCAATGACATTTAATATTAGACGGACAGGGCTTGGCTAAATGACCCTTATTTAAACAAATGTGGCATAAACCTTTCCTTTTAATAACAGACAGTTTTTCATACAAAGGAATTAAATGTGCTTTCTTGCAAAATCTAGTCTCATGGTTCTTTGAACAAAACATACATAAAGTGTCATCGTCTGCATTATAACTGATCAATTCCGCCACTGAAGATTTCCGATCTCTGAACTTGTGACTCGGGGGCACTGTTAAGTTCTTTTGCTCGGAGGGAGCTTGAAATATTTCTGTTCTACTTAACTTCAATTTTTCTTCTGTTCGAATTTCATTTGTCAGAAAACAAAGAATCACATCGAGACTTGCTAAATGTTGTTTGATTTCTATATTTTTTCTTTGATGTTCGAATGAGCGTAAAACATTTGGAGGCAATGCACTTTCAACAAGAGGATACAATATTAACACGCACCTTTCAGATGTAACTCCTAAGGATCTCGATGCTCTCAATTGAGTAGATAGTTTATTATATAAACAACTCAAAGAATCACTTTTATTTCTATTCGCGTTGTTCAAGATGAGTTTTAATAGCTTTCTAACATAGAAATCTATTATTAGATCTCCTCTACCATACCTTTCAACTAAACTTTGAATAGCTAAAGAATAGTTTTCATCTGTCATTGGAAAGGATTCAGCTATCTCCCTAGCTTCTGAATTTACTTTCATCGACTGAATTAAAAAATCAAATTTATCTGCGTTAGTTAGGTTTATGTTCTGATGTATATTTCTAAATTGGTTCCAAAATGTTAACCAATCTTTTAAGTCTCCTCCAAATTTATAAAGTTCGACTTCGGGGAGTCACTGGCATAAAGTTTTTGGTAATTTATCATCTTGTAATGAACGACTATTATCAGAACAATCAATCTTATTTTCACTTGAAATATTTTTCAACAAATTATTTAACACCCATTTGGCTCTTAAATGAATTCTTAAAGCCTTTTTGCGATACTCTTCAACTAAAATAAATTCAATTTCAAAGTCCTTTCATTTTGTAAACTATTTAAATAACTGTTATGAGTTAATTCTAAAGTGTCTGCCTTTTGTTTAAATAAACCTAGACGCATTTCAATTTCGTCATTTTCGAGGCTATCATCAGTTAATACACTTTCTAATTTATTATAGGCTTCATAAATGAAGCTGCTTCTTGTACGGTTTTGTTTCTCTTTATTATTTCCATTTCTACTAAGTTATTCACTCAAAATTTCTAAAACTTTGTATTTTCAATACATATAAATTACCGTTTAGGTATCATATTCAATCATTCAAGTATTAAATGTCAGATCTTCAAAATGGAAAGCTATAAATCTTCTCTTACCTTTTCTAGCTTCTTGTCACCATTCTAATTAAGCCGGCCAACCCGGGACACGCCAAAAATGTCCATTACTTTAGACTAAAGATGCTCATTAAATCAGATAAATGAGACAGCTCACTTAAAATTGACAGACAAGAAGTTTTTTTAAGGCATAAACATTTTATTTCAATTATTTGCAACAAACCGCTTCAATACAAAATTATTTCCTTTAAAAAAAAATTAAACTACTGTTCTAATCACAGTCTTGCAATAAACGGAGGCATTGCTACTCTTTTTCAAAGTATTAACTGAGCTAATTAACTTACCATAAGTGGCACAACATTTATAAATCCATTTTAATAGCTTTACGATTTGATTTTTTTAAGAATTTCTTTTTGATACAAAAACTTTTGCATCTTTTCTCTAAAGTAATTATGCAGGTTATTTATTCAAGATAATATATATCAGTTTTTCAGAATCATTTAGGAATTAACCTTTGGCCAAGTGGATAAGACCACTGAACAGTCTTAGTTCAAGCTGGGTTAAAATCATGTCACATAGGTTTGCTGTATGAGTATTGTCATGATTACCCCTCTGTGTACTATAAATGCAGGTTAATTTTCCTTAGACTGTCTTCCATGCAAATATTCTTCTCCTTAGGTAGATAGACTTTATGTCCTTACTTATAATCAACTAAATTTTTGTGGTGTCTTTTTTCACTCTAAATCAGTATATCAAAAAAATAATTATGAACTAAAGTGTGGATCTGTATACCTATTGAATTAATAAAATGTTTATTACAATTTTTTTTCCAAAAAAATATTTAAGATAAAGAAATTATTTTTTGCACTTTTTATGTTTGTGTTATTAATTTGTCATTTGTATTTTAGGGCCATGAGTTTTACAATCCTCAGAAGAAAAATTATATTTTCTTGCATCCTTGCTTTGAAGAACTAAAACCTCGAAACAAAAAGTAATTATTTAAAATTATTTAAATAATTGCTTAATAAACTTTTGCTACCATTATATAAACTCTCAAATAATACATGGAAACACCTTTTCTCATCGTGAAACAGTCAACTCCTAGTCTGTATAACTCAGTGCTCCTATTTTATGATGTAAAATAATATCTGCCATTTTTATCAAAGCAATTTTTAAAGATTCCTGTTTGTTATTATTTTTGTAATATGGGAATCAATTGTTTTATTCAACCTACACTCACAGACTGTTTTTGTGTTACTTATGAAAACATGAAATAATCTTCTGTCAGAACAGTTATTAACTTCATGTTTAAATATTTTCAGATTGCAGTTTTCATCATTTAATTGAAAATATTGTTTAACAAAATAATAAAGTATTTTGTGTCCTAAACTTTCATTTGTAGTTTTAAATTTTAAGTTATTTATGATTCTGTAGTTTGATTTTCAACATAGGGAAAACATTTTAATGGAAGGAAATCGATGCATAGTATTTTCTGTAACTTTTAATCTGTAAAAAATATTTACTAAAATTTGTATTTTTTCAGCTGCAGATTTTGGTTTATATGTAACCAGGATTTAAGGTATATCATTAGAACTGAGTTAAAATTTTTAAAATAAATAAATACAATAAAGGACTTGCAAATTTAACATTGAACATTCCATATAATCGCATAAAATTTCACACTGAATTCAACTTCTGTTGGCTTAGTAATGAACACAGTAATTGCTAAACTTCTGGCTTGTATGCTGATCGAGAACCTAAAATTATTCACCAAAGTTTTAAAAATTTGTATTTAGGATGCCTATGCCAAATTCTTATGTATCATTTTGAAACATTTAAATAAAGTATTACTTTTACTCTATAGAGTTTAAATGTTTTAAATACATAAAAAAATATTGCATATTATAGTGTCAGTATTCAGGTTTTTTTTTTTTAATAGATATTCATTGTTTAGTCTTCTGATGAGTGTGTTGTAATAAATATTTAATAAGTATCCTTTAAAAGAAAGAAATTATGTAGCGAGCTTGAGTAAAAGTCTTTGTTATAATTGGAGGAAGGTTTTTTCAAATGATTTTCATGATGTTTTTCTGGATGATTATTTTTTGTTATACAGATAATATGTATATATTAAGCATCATAATCATAATTTTTTATCATTTCATAATTAGAATGTGTAAAATAATGCACTGTATAATAAAATGTAAATTTGTATTGTGTGGTCTTGCTTTTTTTCATGAAAATAAAAAGTCCTTTTGCATTTCATAATTTTGTGTGAGTAACATTTAAAAATTTTGTTCATATATTACACCTTTGTGCTATATTGGTATCCTGATTTATGCATATAAATATATGTTATGATATATATGTCAGAAATTTTCAATACCTTAAAAAATCGGAAGTCTTCATGAATGTTGTCTAACAGAGAAAAAGAAAAGGGGGAAAAAACTGACCTAATTTTCAATCTGATACTGTTTTATACTTAATTAAGGAATGGTGGTTGAGTTGTAATATTCCCCACCCCCTTCTGTTTTTTTTTTTTTTTTTTTTTTTTTTTTTTAGTAACACATTTGCTGTAAACAAAAATTATGAGTAACTAGGATTTTAATAAATATCATAAATTGATATAAGTATGATTTGACATATTCAAAAGTGTAGATACTGTTAAAAATGTTATAGACTAAAATTAGAACTAATTTTAATTTTGAGCTAAAATAATGAAATATTATTACATTTTTCAACTTACAAATTATACAGAATCTAATAATAAGCACTTAAATTTTAAAAACCTACTTCATCTGTTTTGAAATTTTAGAATTTGTTATTTAACATTTTGATATAAGAACAAATTTGCTATATTCTGCAGTATCATTAAAACTTATGAAATTAATTTATTCATTGTCAGTGTTATTGCTGAAATAATTTATCCATAATAAAAATTTGTATTTCTCTCATTTCTGAAACATACATCTTAATGCCTGCATTTCTGAGCATATAACTTGAACTTTTTATAATTGAGGAAAATAAAAATAATCAATCAATAATGCCAATATAAGGTTAAAAACTGTGTACCCATCCACTAGATGATTTACAAAATAGCAAAAAATGAAGATGAAATTTTAAATAAAAAATTATAGATATATGTATAGCTATAAAAAATCTTAAATAACATAAATTTGGTGGTTAACTGAAGAAAGAGACATGCATGTGCAAATAAAATTGTGAAAGCCAAGCTTAAAAACAATTAATCATTTTTTATGTCATTTTGATCTATGTTAAAGTTTATATATAAAAAATAAACCAAATTATCCAATCATTAAAAAAATATATGGTGGATAAGAAAGGGTTATCTCTAAATAGGCATTAGAATGAACAGAATTTGCATTTAAAAATTGGAGAAAAATATAAAATTTCGTCAGGTTTTGTGTTTTTAAAGAATTAATGTTTTTTTTTTTTTTCTATTTTTTATGCATTATAAAAATTGCTAGGCATTTATAAATAGAATATTGAATTAGTCTATTTGTGTGTTTTATTGCTTTGAGAACATTTCTGAGAGTTTTGCTTCATTGCATGTGGTAAATTTTTTATAATAACACTAAGATTTTCTATCTGAAGTATTATGATTCTTTTTTAAAATATTCTCATAATAAAAATTTTGTATCATTTTTCACAAAGTTCATTCAAAACATTTCATTTCTTTGTTGCAGCTGATAATATAGTCTTACGGAACTGTGTGAAAACAGACCATGTCTGGAGGTATTCATGTTGTAAATCATTAAGATCAGCATAAATGCCTTTGTAAACATGTCAGCATATGACTGATCATTTTTTGAACCATAATAAAACAAAATTTTAGTATTTTAATAATTTGTTATAATACATATTCTTTATATTGACTACACGCAGTCTGATTTAGAATAATTTTCTTGAGCTCTATCATGTGTAGAAAACACCAAGTGTTGAATCTTTAATTTTCTTACGTTGAATCGTATAAAAATATGATTTTACAGAATTTCTGCCTTATTATCACTATAATTTTATAAAGATTTGTGAATACCCCCATCTTTTAATTTATCAGAAAGATTAAATTAAAATTTATTTTAATGAAACAGTAAAATGAAGAGGATTTCTCTAAGATTAAAAGTGGCATATTTGTAGGATATTTTTTTATCCTTTACATATTCTCTAAAATACCTGCCTAGAATTTTTTATAATGGCAGACATTTTTAACGTTAAAAAATGCTAAAAAAATTATCTGTTTTTCTGATGTAAAATACTTCGCATCTCTGGTAGAGTAAACAGTTCCGATTTTTTTTTTCCCCCATCCTATGCTCTCTAATTCTTTGAATTTTATGCTATGTAGAATTTAACCATGTGTTTGATGCACATTTTTCTGATGTTACACAAGTAAGATAGATTAAATCTTGAATTTGATCTATATGTAAATAATGTCTTAACAGTGCAAAAATTTTGTTGCAATTAGTAAAGTAATCAGAAAAAAATTGTGATTTGTAGAATAAGCATTTGAATTTTCATAAAATTTGTTTATTTATAGATAGCTGTTATTCATTAAGCTAAAATCGATTTCTTAAGCTTTACAGGTATAATATTGTGTTTTATTTGCAACTGAAATTTAATTTAGGTGTTTTTATGAGTTATTTGTTTTTAATAGGGTGTAAATGAGATGATAATATAGCCAGCTAAGTTTTGGAACAGTCATTATGGTTCAAATCACTTAGTATCAAAACTTTGTTAGAAATTTCTTTTGTATTTTAGAAATTCGATCATTATTTGTTATTCTTAAATATAGTTAGGTATCGGAAGTTATCATTGTGCCAAAGCATCAACATTTTGCAAAAAATTGCTGTTTCACCTTTAAGATACCATTTAAATGATTGATAAATGTTAATAATAATACAAAAAAATTGAGTAAATATGAAATAAGTAGCAAACTAAATGAGCTGTTTGATAAATGTTAATAATAATACAAAAAAAAATTGAGTAAATATGAAATAAGTAGCAAACTAAATGAGCTGTAGATTTCACAGTATAAAGAAGTAAAAAGTCATTAGTCACTCTCACCATTTATAATTTGAAATGCTATTTTAATATTACTTTATTAAAAATAAATCTATTAAAAAGGCTTTGAAGGATCAAGTCTAGGTTCTGTAAAATTAGTGTGGTAACTAGTAATTTAACTGTTCAGTCTTTGTATTGCATTTTTTTTCCCTTACATTGCATCAGTACCCTCCTACTTTTGTTTCTGTTTAGTACTGTTGGGTCAGTGTTTTTCTTATATACTAATGAAAAGCAAATGAAATTCATTTTAATAATAGTAAAATATAAATGCTAAAATTTGCAATTTCTTTATGTTTATTAAAGTATCTAGCTTATTGATAAATATTTTTAACCTGGAATATTTTATTACTTGGCAAAAGGTTCATCTTCATTAAAGCAACATGATCAGAAATAGGGAAAAAAAGTCGTAATTGAAAATAAGGGAAACAAAATTATCTTTGTTTTACTGATTTAAACCACTTTTTTTCCTTTTTTGTTCAGAAAGCATCTTCTAAATGTAACATTAAATGATAAAATTGTTGATAAAATAAGGAAAAAATTGATTCTTAAGTGCATAAATGGCCTAAAACATTTTATTGTGTCAGATGTGCTATCAAAGAATACTTTTTAGGAATTTAAACTGAGTTATTTACAGCTAAAAGAGAAATATTCCATGTACAAAGAGGATCTTACACTTTCATAGCCATATTTTAGCTTGTCGTTTACATTCTATATTGAAACTATAAGTGAAGTTTCAGCAGTCATCTCAAGAACAAAATCCCTCCAATAATATGTAGAAGTTTAATTTGAAGCTAATATTTTTATGCATTTAATTGCAAATTTAAATGTGTTGGGAAGATAATATTTAGATTATTATTTGTGAAAAATTGCTGAATGTGACAATGGTAAGCAGATAGTAGTAAAGCATGATGATATATATTAAATTAAGGAATTTGAGAGGGATTAGTAAGAGAGGGTATCTGCATTGATTTCATTATCACAAACAATTGCAAATGATGATATTTTAAATTTTTTGTGCTACATTCCTATGTAGATTTTTTATGTGAAATAAAAGGATTTATTTATTCTTTAGTTCTGCACAATGATGTGTAAAATTTGCAAACTTGGCAAAATATGATTGTTTGGCTAACTAACTTTACGACTCATAAATAATGCTGTTAATAAATAATAATAAAAAGAGGCATTTTATAAACTCGCATTATTATTCATTATGACAGAAAAATAAATATAAAGCGAGTAAATCGACGTATACTCAAACCCATGTGTGGTATGTACATGCAACAGTTGCTTATTGCCACATCTATACTGAAAGTATCACAGTATTTTTAGATATAATAATGACTGTTTGATTAGAGAAGAAAACTGTGTTAACTAGATGCTGCAATTGATGCTTCTGATCTTATTTGAACAGCAGTATGAATATGTGTATTTGTAACTTGTAATGGAAAAGACAAAATAAATCTGATTATCCAGTTTGTATTCATCTAGACAGTTATGTAGCCAGTTGCTCAAAATAGTTATTGTGAAAAAGGAAAATGTATAATGATTTTAATTTCTTTATGTGTCCAGCTAGTGTAATTTCATAGATTCAACTGCTGATAAATAGTAGCCACCCTAATGATATAGTGATAATCAACGCTGGCTGCCCAGGTTCAGATCCCAGAGAAAGCATGCATGTTTGTAAGTGTATGTTTGTGTGGTAAGAGAGCATTAAAAATACATGGAGAACTGAAAGTTTTCTTAGATGATTGGTGGTAGACTCTTTGACTGCCCTTCCCCTTCATTTTGGGTTCTTCGTCAAAGTTAGTGCGGAGCAAAGGAATGCCCAGGTGCTGGCTTTGGTTCAACTTGTTCCTGTACTTATTAATAATAATTGAGATATAGAACTGCATATATTGCTTTTCGATTGCTTAGTTTTTCAGATGTTTTGACATATCCCTGCAATGCAAATATCTTTCACCTAGTTACTGAATGAGATTTATATTGAAACCAAAACATTTTTTACTCTTTCCCAGTGCTTCTTCCAAATGCACCTGTTCCACTTTTCTGTTTGCTTGCTTCAAGGTAGCATGTCGCTTCTTGCTTTGCACAGTTCTAAAATATGCTAAGCTTCGAAAATGTGGGCTGCATATAGTGTCCATTTTATTTGTGTTGGATTAATTTAAAATGTGTATCAACAATGAATAAAAGGGAAACAGATTCGTCCACTTCTGCAAGTTTCTTCTTCATTATCTACCAATTTTGCCATTACCAGTCTATTGCATATATACACTGGTGTGCAAAAACTAAAGACGAAGTCAAAAAATTAGCATATCAGCTGAACGAAGAGGCAGAGCAGACAAAAAGACCAATCAGGAGATTAAGTAAGGTGATGTACAGTAGCACATGTGCAGATATGCTGGTAGACGTAATGGGGAGTGTCTGAGTAGTATGAAGCATGTTGTCGGTGTAAGATCAGTATTTCTGGGAAAGAGATTGCACGCCGTATAGCAGTTAAAATCACACCGAGTTGCTGCCTCAGCGAGAAATGGCGAATAATCAATCGGTTAGACGACATCTGGATGCTTTTACCCAAGGTCGAATCATCGGGAAGTTGGAGGAAGGCTACAGTGTGACAAGTGTGGCTGCAGAGTTCGGAATTGCTCACAGCATCGTTTCACGACTTTGGAGACAATTTCAAACTACAGGAACAGCTATCCTGGGGTTTAGTAGTGGCCGTCCACAAGGAACCACACCTGCAGATGACCGGTATATTGCGTTACAGGCCAGAAGAAACAGGCGACTGACAGCGGGAGAAATCGCTAGACACACGACACAGGCGACTGGACGACTGATATCGCGTTTTACCGTGGCCAGAAGACTGCACGGTGGTGGTCTGTTTGCACGACGCCCTGTACTGTGTGTACCTCTAACGCCTGCCCATCGGAGAAGGCGTTCTCTGTGGTGCTGGGAACACCGGAATTGGAGAGACAATGAAAGGGGACGAGTACTCTTTACAGACGAGCAGATTCAGTCTGAGTAGCAATTCTCATCGTATACTCATCTGGAGAAAGCAGGGAAGCCGCAATCATCCCTCAAACATCATTGAAAGGGACAGGTATGGAGGTGGCGGTGTTCTTGTTTGGGGAGGCATCATGCTTGGTAGTCGTACAGACCTTCACATCTTTGACGCAGGTTCAGTCAACGGGACCTGTTATTTTAGCGAGATTCTTCTTCCATATGTGCGTCTTTTTAGAAGCGCTATGGGTCCGCAGTTCCTTTTCATGGACGACAATGCACCAACCATGTCATCACACAGTAGCTGCCGAACAGCTCTTAGAGAGTGAGGATATTGAACGTATGGATTGGCCGGCACGATCTCCGGATCTCAATCCCATCGAGCATGTATGGGATTTTCTAGGCAGACGCTTGGCAGCTCATACCTTACCACCAGTAACGATTCCGGAGCTTCGATTGGCGCTGCAAGACGAATGGGCAGCAATTTCTCAACAACTCATTTACACCCTCATTCTCAGCATGGGCAGACACTGTGAAACCTGCCTAGCAGTCAGGGGAGATCATATCCCCTATTAAAGACCGGATGTTTCTTGCTGGACACCCATCACAGGGATGTTTCGGCCTTCAGTCGCATTGCGCTCCATGCTACTTTTTCAATAAAGCTTCTTTTTATCCCTCTGATTTCTCTTTTAGTAAGTGTTGCGTACATTACTCATGTCCTTATGTATTGGGGATCTTACGGTATTAAATGTGTTGATTTGGAAAGCTTTTGTACAAAGTTATATTGA